AACCTCAACTGATGGTAAGTATAACTCCAACTTTAATGGAAAATAAACGAAAATACTGCATAATTTAAAAATATGCATTGTAACGTGGTGACACCCGTGCCCCCCCCCGTTACAATCGCTGCGCTTTCCCCCACGTTACACCTCCACCTCAAAACCACCCGCAACCCTTCCCTCACCTAACCCTTTCCCCCTGTTCACCGGTGTCGGGCCGATGGAGGCAAAGGAGACGAACAAGGGACACCCACAGCAGGAGCTACGAGGCCCGCGACAGACTCCTAACCGTCCTCCGAGGAAACGGAGCAACGTGGGACTCCGAGGAAAGAGCCAAAGTTGCCCGGACTATGCAAACGTCCACCCGGAGCCATCTGTCGCCGAGCCCGAAGACCTCAACCTACCCGTCATCGAGGGATATCCGCCAGCCCTATCGACCCCGAGCACCGGTGTATCGAAGATCGATAATCGATCTATCCCGTTGCCGGAAGGGGCCCCACTCCATAGTCCCATCCCCTCCCCAAACCATCCCGCGACGGTTTCGTCGTCGCAGCAGCGACGGCGAACCGTCATTGAGCCCTAGGCTAAGCGAGAATACGGAGTTAGAAAAAGCGATTTTGGAAAGTTATTGTGTGAGAGAAAGTGCGAGGAAATTTGGGTGAGTCCCTTACCGTAACCATTGTAATAGCGAGATCGAGGCAACGGCTATTTTCTCCGCCCGCGCATTGTTCGACGTAGAGACGAGTCCCCCTTTTGATTTCCCAACCACAGCTATTTCCTCATTCGCGTAACGTAGACGAACTTTCCTGCGAACCCCTCTTCCGACCCTAGAGATTTCCCTTCCCACAATAATCCTCCTTGCGTACTCCCCCGCGAAGTATTGTACGGACGTAAGTGCCCCGAGACCCATCCCCTGTAAGACACCCACAATCACCCCCCTTTTCCCTTTTTTGATCTTGATCGCCACAAGACGTGGCTGGCGCCCAGCGAATCGTTGTAACACCGACTCATTGTATAGAGTGAACCCCCGAAGAGGGTCACAGCATGTAACATATATATTTCTTCTTTTTATTATTCTTTCAGAAGAAGCGCTGACGAACGCCTTGGTGCAGCTGCAGCAGCAGCCGCAACAACAGCAGCCGCAGCAACAGGACGATAAACCTAAGCGCAGTATGTATCACAGATTTTATCGAACATATAATTTTCATTTGCGTCGTAAGTAATAAAAGAAATTAATTCTCAAATGGATGAGTTATGTTAATATGTCGAATTTTACTTTACAGAAAAAGGTACTGCGGCCGGAACGCGTCGCCGCTACCCCGGCAAATGGCCGCGTGGCGGGAGGGGCCCCAATAAATATTATATTTTCTTTAAATAATGAAAACAATAATTAAAAACCAATGTTATTCATCTTGTTTTCTTTTATTTATATTTAACCATCTAAATTTGATCAATATATTTTTTTTGGTTGATAGTTATTAGGTATCTAATAAAAATACAAAACATCCTTACGGTATCCTTCAAATACTGCTCGTTCCACTAAAAAGTGTGAAATAAAATAATTTTTAACAAAAAAAAAGTCCGACTTCGAAATGCACTAAAAAGTATAAAATAATTTCTATTTCATTTATATCTGTATTCCACAACTATTAATACAATCTACTTAATCGTTACATAGGATACTAAACATATTTCAACCGTTTCGGAGGCGGCGCAAAATTAAAAGTACCTAACTATACGATCCTGCCAATAACGATTTGATTGCGGTATGGCAAACTTGGTAATTAATAAGTCGTAAGAAAACATATCCGAAACGTTATAGATACGGCAGAAAACATTTATAATTGTAACGATTGTATCAGAAGTTGGTAGCACATCTGATGTACATGTATACTGTATTTCACGAGAGAACATACTTAACTTGCGCAACTCACTTGGACTAGGGAGATTCCCCTCTACAGCTTGCTTCTTAATTTGCGATCATATAAATGGTGGACAGAAATATATTACGTACGATAATTGATAAGCGATGATGCTGTTACGTCCCGACAAAGGAAATTCCATTCTCTCCAATTTCAAGTTGCAAAAGCGTTAGCAATCAGGAAATCGGTTCATTGACTGACCTCCTTAGAGTCACCAGCGTCAACAAATTCTCTCTTCTTCTCGAAACGCTGTGTCAAAAATTATGCGTGCAACGCATAGACATTCCAACAGGTCAGTATACTACTGAACTCTTTCCGTAATCATGCGAAATCAGCATTTTCGGCCTTCATAAAAACCCAGTTACGAACAATAGCCACACAGACGGCCATACAGTCGCGAGGTGCGCGGTCTTTCTGTCCGAGAAACATCTAGTATTGCAGGATACGTCGAGCAGAGTTTCGTGAGAATCAAGTGTCACGCGAAAAGACTCAGTTTTCTCGTTAATAAGACTCAAGGTTTCAAATCATTTGTAATTAAAACTGTTAATGTAAAATATTTAGATTTATTGTTAGTGTAGAGTCATAGTTTCATCTTGTCAAGAACATTGTATCATCATCCGTGCGTCGAGAGAAGAGAGAGAGAAAGGAGCGAAGAATCGAACTCGTTAACCGTTTCTGTTCATCTAAATATCCGGTGAGTGCGATTAAAAACTGGATACTCTGTCCTCAGTAATTAAAGAAAATTGTAATATCTCTTGAATGCCCATTATATTTTCATACTTCGTTTCTTTTGGCAAAATATATAATAGTTATTTATTCAATCTCGATAATTATTTAGTGCGTATTTCCCAAACCTTGTGTCCAACGAGCGAGAGGCTTGTATCAGTCTAGACCGAATCCGAATCCTATAATATCTTACCTTCACAAAGAAGGTGTTTAAGCGTTGCGTCGGATCATATCAATCCGCAGACTAGTCACCTACCACTACGCCTGCTCCGCACGTAACAATGCTATGGTAAAGATACACGATATAATGAAATTCCTATTATTTTTCAAAGAAAAAATTATATGTTTAATTTTGCGCCGCCTCCGAAACGGTTGAAATATATTTAGTATCCTATTTAACGATTAAGTAGATTGTATTAATAGCTGTGGAATACAGATGTAAATGAAATAGAAATCATTTTATATTTTTTAGTGCATTTCGAAGTCGGATTTGTTTTTTGTTAAAAATTATTTTATGATCCTTCGATGTCGGCTCTGCCTATCATTGCCAAGCAGAATTCGCCAAGCGTCGGATTGTTGACCCGCTAACAGGGAACGTGAGCAAAATGTTAAGGGACCTTTTTTGTAGAAAATTAAGTTTCCTACTATTTATCTGCTACGACATTTTTTGATCAGCTGCGTAGTTTTCGAGATATATCGAGATATTTAAAAGTTCCGAAGCCGTACCCACAATATGAAGGCGAATATCTCGGAAACCGTGCGAGCTATGGCAAAAAGTTAGGAGCACCTTTTTGTAGGAAATCATGGTAGTTGTTGTATGCGGATTCTAAATCACTGGCGTCAGCATTTTGTTTGCTGACTCAGCAGTAATTTGACACCATCAGCAGAAATATGATACCCCCCACGCCGACAACATCCACCCCTCTCCCCACCCCATGACCTTGAACTGAAATTTGACACCACTGTCAGCAGAAATATGATACCCCCCGACAACCCCCACCCCTCCCTCACCCCATAACCACCCCCTCAGCAGAAATAACCACCCTATGACAACCCCCGCCCTATAACCACCCCCTCAGAAGAAATACCCACCCTATGACAATGCCCGCCCTATAACCACCCCCTCAGCAGAAATACCCGCTCTATGACAACCCCCGCCCTATAACCACCCCCTCAGCAGAAATACCCACCCTATGACAATCCCCACCCTATAACCACCCCCTCAGCAGACCAGACCCCGCAGTAATTTGACACCATCAGCAGAAATATGATACCCCACCCCCATGACCTTGAACTATTTTTGTCTTATCGGAAGACGACACAAGGCCTCACCCACTTTTCTACGTCTTGGAGATCAGATTTTTTGCTATAACCACCAGACCCCGCAGTAATTTGACACCATCAGCAGAAATATGATACCCCATCCCCCATGACCTTGAACTATTTTTGTCTTATCGGAAGACGGCACAAGGCCCCAAGTGGAAATGAGATTTTTTGTTGGCGCAGCAAATCTGACGCTGCAATTCGCGACTATAGAAGGTAGAGGTTTTGCTCATGACCTTGAACGAATTTTTCTACGTCTTGGAAATGCGGTTTTTGTTGACGCTGCAGAGTGAACAGCAATTAAACACTTTCGTCAATGACAGCCCCACTTTAATAAAATGGGAGAAAATTGGCAATGTGCGTCATATGTAGTTTGACAATTAGAAGTGCAAGGATACTTAACGCGTTTGTGGAAAAGAGAAATGGAGGCCACGTTACTGCAGGAACTCGAACGCATCACCGAATTATTGGCGCAGCGGGCGATAAACATCAATACTGAAGATGAGCGTTGCGATTACTTGATGCGATGTGATCAGTGCATCGAATTGATAGACGAACGATTACAAATGGGAGACGATCAGTCGAAGGATGGCGAGACATAGAAGCATACAAAGAAAGAATCGACGCCTTGCGTAGAATATTGTATCGTGACAATGATCATCCTAGTGGTCGAAAGGCAATATTACTAAACAAACTTGCTTGTATAGAACGTATTGCAGCCATAAGTAGTAACGACGACCGAAACGCATGTCTGGTGCAATGCAATCAATGCATTGATTTAATGATAGAGCGATTGCAACTGGAAAAGGACTTATCAACTGGTTTGAAAAATAGTTTAACAGCCAGGATAGCGAGATTTAAATCGTTAAGAGCAGAGTTACACGGATCTGTAGAAATAGGCGAAGGTCAAAGGAGAACAGATGCTGAATCACATGCATCATCATTATCATCTCTTATCTGGGAGGATGTAGAATCAGCTTTCCATAACCGGATATCTACAGGAATTATAATCAACACCGAGCATATTGAACCACGAAACTTTTTGGAAGATGCTAGAAAAATAGTATTCCAACGTCTAGCGGAAGTTTTCCAAAATCATTCATGCATAAAAGTGAATACGGTGTTGTATGGGGAGTTTACCGCTGATAATAAAACTGATGTGAAAAGTTTCAGTGTGAGAAATAAACAATTATTTTCTACATCAAACTTGAACGATTGGTATGACAAATACGTTGTGAACTCAACTTTAACACTGATGGAAGAATTTCAGGAACGGGACAGTGGTTGGGCAATATCGAAAATTCTGCATTTGATGTTAAATATCAATAAATGCAATCCGATGCATGTTGGTTGTTACACCGACATACCAAAAACAATCAAGGACAAAAGAGCGGTAGTAAATGTGACAGTTGACGATGATACGTGTTTTGTCAGATCGATAGTTGTAGCATTATATCCCGCCCATGTGAATGCAAATCGACCATCATCGTATCCCAACTATGACACCGTTTTAAATTTGGAGGGCATCGCATTTCCAATAACGCTTAATCAAATACCAAAATTTGAGCGCCAAAACGATGTTTCGATAAACGTTTATTTCTGGGACATGAATGTGAAAAGGTGTGCTCCGCTCCAACTCACCACTAACAAAAGATTTCGTCACGTTAACCTGCTGATGCTTGAAACGCCCAACCGTAATGTGCGCCACTTTGCATGGATTAAAAATCTTTCCCGGCTTGTTTCAAACCAGCTCAGTGCACATAAGAGTAAACCTTATATTTGTGACAGGTTTGTATCACGCCATTACCATCTATTTTAGTGTATGCGTTTGTTCTTTTTGTACTAATGCAGTTACTTTGTTTATATGCAGATGCCTTCACTACTTTTATGCGGAAGAAAAGTTATTGAAACATACGAAGGACTGCATGAAGATGAACGATTGCGCAATCATTCTACCATCGAGTGAGGATAAAATAATAAAGTTTGATAATTTTTGTCACTGACAACGTCATCCATTCATCGTGTATGCCGATTTCGAATGCATGCTTAAGAAGATTAACAGTAACATCAATCAAGGACACTGCAATGCATACCAGCAGCACGAAGTATACAGTGTGGGATATTATTTTCACTGTTCGTACAACGCATCGGTGTGTGAGTATCGCGCGTATCGAGGTCCTGACTGTGCTGAATGGTTCGTGAATGAACTTGAGAACCTTGTAAGAAAAATTGCACCATTATTTAATACGATTGTGCCCATGATGAAAGAGAAAATTATATGAATGCAACGCATTGTTATATTTGCGAAAAACCGTTCGACATCGACGAAACAAAAGTTCGAGATCATTGCCATTTCACTGGTCGTTACCGAGGACCTGCTCATCAGGGATGTAATTTAAATTATAAAAATAAACGTTTTATACCAATAGTGTTTCATAACTTATCGGGATACGATGCACATTTTGTAATAAAAGAATTGGTAACGATTATCGAAGGCTCGACATCAGTCTTGCCAATTACAAAAGAAAAATATATTTCATTTTCAATGAATTTAAAACGTTACAAAATTTCGCTTCGATTTATAGATTCATTCAAATTTTTAAATTCAAATTTAGATAAATTGAGTTCGTATTTAGGGAAAGACGATATGACGATTTTACGGTCACAATTTAATTTTTTGAACGAGATAAGATTCGATTTGCTTACACGAAAAGGCATCTTTCCATACGATTATGTTACCGACTACATGAAACTGAACGAGACGACATTGCCGACATGTGACAAATTTTATAATCAACTAAGCGACTGTGCCGTTTCACAGCAGGATTATGACCACGCGATAAAAGTCTGGTGCAGTTTTAATATAAAAACACTTGGCGAATATAGCGATTTATATCTAAAAACAGACGTTTTATTATTGGCCGACATTTTTGAAAATTTCCATAGCAGCTGTTTGAGAAGTTACAAATTGGATCCTGCATATTACTATACTTTACCTGGTTTTACGTGGGATGCAATGCTGAAGCACACGCGTATCGAATTAGAATTATTGACAGATATCGATATGCTACTTTTCATAGAGCGCGGCATACGCGGCGGTTTAAGTCAATGTTCTAATCGATACGCAAAGGCCAATAATAAATACATGGATTCGTATAATTCCGAAGAACCATCGCGATATTTAGTATATTTCGACGTTAATAATTTGTATGGATGGGCAATGTCGCAGTATCTACCTTACGGCGAGTTTAAGTGGTTAGACAATAATGAAATTAAAACTTTTAACATTCATGCGATATCCGAAAATTCGGACATTGGATGTCTACTCGCTACAATTCAGGATAAGCAACGTTACATCATCCATTACCGCAATCTTCAACAATGCTTAAATCATGGTTTAAAAGTTTCTGATTATGTTTGGCCGAAATTTAAACATCTTTGTACAATATTATACACAGACACAGACAGTCTTATATACGAACTGGAATGTGATGACGTATACGATGTAATGAAACGCGATATACATCGGTTTGACACGAGCGACTATACCGAGGACAATGTTTACAGTATGCCACGAGTAAATAAAAAAGTACCAGGATTAATTAAGGATGAAAATAATGGGTGTATAATGACTGAGTTTGTCGGACTTCGGTCGAAAATGTATTCTTTGCGCGTAGAGGGCAAACGGGACACGAAAAAAGTGAAGGGCGTCAAAAGTAACGTAGTTAGGAAAACTATTCCTTCAATGATTATATACGTTGCTTGTATGATCGTTTAGAAGTGCATCGTGAACAGAGATGTATTCGTTCAAAATTGCACAATGTATATTCTATATGTGAAGAAAAGAAGGTGCTTAGTCCTTACGATGATAAACGATTCATAATTCCACAATCCACAAGAACGTTGCCTTGGGGACATTATAAAATAAATAATTATTCCTAAAAACATAATTTATTCTTCGCTCCACGAGTAAAATATTATTAACTTCCAAGTATCTTTATAAGCCTGTAGGGTTTCGAGCTCATGCAAACCTTGCAATTTCATGAGAGAGAGACCGGAGTTCTTACTCATCTCAGGTCTTAGAGTTTGGAGAGAGATGTTTGCGACGACAGCCGCGGATCGGCGTCGCGCATCGCGGGCCCCCACCGCGGCGGCATCCCCACTCCCGAGTAATTAGACTATAAGTAGGACCGATCGATGCGCGGATCGATGAGTTGCCTCGGGGCTTCGGCCCCGAGGGGACCTCCTCGGAGGTCCGGACCGGAGCACCAGAGCTCTCGACGCCATGGCTGACCTGGCGAAGGGATCTCTGGCCAACGGGCCGTAGCATTGCACTACGCTACGACCTGGCAGCTCCCCTAGGTCCAGCGGCCGTAGGCGCCTAGCCTCGTCAGTCCCGTGGTTGACCCGGGGTGACCAAGCTAGTGCGCGTTCATAATCTCTGCTGGTGCTTCCGCGGGGATTCCGAACGCTAGCTTACTCGGCACCGCAATTTGCCTTTGGCAGCCGATTCCGTCCAGCTTTGTGGCGTTACCCAGGCTGGCCAGGATTGGTCGTCGACTCGTTCGCTGTTCGGTTCTACCTCGGCGTACGAGAAGACGAGCCGCGTGAGGCAAGCGGGCCGCAACTCCACCGCAGCGCGAAACACCGCAGCGCGATTGAATAAACACCGTCGGCCCAACCGGGCCAATCCATCCCGACTCGACCTCTCTTGCGTTTGCGTACGTTTGCGTTTGTTTGCGTTCGCGCTCCGTTCAGCGCTTTCACCCCGCGCTCCGACATCGCGCCGTTAGCCTGTAAGACCGCGTAGCGATGGCTACGACCTGCGCTAGAATTAAGGCCGCGTACTTTCTGTGACGGACCGGGTTCCGACCGTAGTTCATAAGTCCTGTACATTAGGCTTAAGCTCGGCTCCACGCGTCTAACCACCAGACGACATTTTTGATTGTAGCTCCCGAGGCAGGAGAGCACCGCCCGACCAGCCGGCGAGGGCAGCCGCCGTTAGAGGCCCCCTTCTTTAATGAATAAATATTTATTTTTCCTACTAACACCGACTCATTATTTACCGACCTGTTCCCATGCGAACCCTGGCACGGGGAAAACCGCCGCGGTGCGCAACGCCGTGCGCACCGAACCGACCGACCCCGTTACATGGCGCCCGAACAGTGCGATAGTAGCGACGGTGGAGCCACTAGAGTTAAGACCTAGTATATAAGGAACGAGCAAAAGGACTCCAGATCAGAAGCTACCGAGCAACCGAAGCGACAACACAGAACGAGAATCCAGAGCGAAAGCAGAACGAGAATCCAAAACGAGCCAGAAGATCATCCGAGGGGGATATACCGCGGACGGCCTACCTCTCCGAATTTGCCGACAAGATCGACGAGGCAACTGCGAACAGGCAATCCAGCCAGATCCAGTGTCTGCTAGCAGCTGTACGAATCGACTCCAAGGAAGCGAACCGAGGAAACCAGGATGGCCGGTATCGCTTGGGTATATCGCCTGAAGAAGGACCAAGTAGTCAGCGAATTGCGTAGACTAAACCTGCCTACGCTGGGAACGTGGGTCCAGCTACGGACCAGCCTGGCAGACTACGTCCGAGAACACCAGGACGAGTTTGCAGACAAACCAGAAGACGAGCCGGGATACAAGGAGGAAGCCGACCAGACCCGAGACTACCACGAATTCCACGCGGAGATGGCCCGAGAATGGCTCCGGACACACCTGGGGAACCGTCCAGCCACGGCCACATCAACACCCAACCGTAGAGACGATACGAACGCCGAGATGACGGCATTTCCGGCAGGTCCATCCGCTCCACCAGAACCAGCCGCCCGACATCACGAGGACCGGGCAAAAACAATGGAGATTATGCGAAAATGGAACTGCCATTTCGACGGACGAGACCCGTACGCGTTCCTGGAGCAATTAGAAGAACTACAGGAAGCATACGGCCTAACCGACCACCAGATGCGCTCGGGCTTCACTCAGCTATTACGAGGCGAAGCCCAAAAATGGTACAGAAATACAGCCGTCAAAATACGCTCGTGGCAGGACCTCCAGGAACAGCTACGAAGATTCTTCGTACCAGCCGGAGAGAAAAGGCGATTGGACCAGCAAATCGCCAGCCGGAAGCAAGGTCCAGACGAGCCGCTAAGGACCTTCATTAACGAGATAACTACGTTAATGCGCCGCAGAGGTGCATACACCGAGGTAGAGCTGCTGGACGCAATCTACTTCAATATGAAGCCAGCGTTCCGGCTCTACATCAACCGGGCGCTAATTAAAGACGTAAGCGAGCTGATCACCAGGGCGGAAACGGTAACCGAAAGTATGACCGCAGAACAGGGCACCACCAGAAGAAGCGAAGAACAACGCACGACCAGGCCCGAACCACGACCGAGAACACCAAACCCGACCAGAGGCAGCAAAGTCGCGACCGACTACAACCGGGAGACGCACTGCTGGCGATGCGGCCAGACAGGACACGACCGCTTCAAATGCCCGAACTCGGCGGTCAGATTCTGCTCCTACTGCGGGAAAGTAGGCGAGATGACACGAACCTGCCTATGTGCAAGGCAGGGAAACGCCGAGAGGGGCCGGACAGACCCGGCCCCAGTAAACCAGCCAACAAACACAGACCAGCGCGGAAGCGAGACAAACCTTCCACGCAAGAAGAACCAGGAGAAGAAGGAAAAGCCGAACCAGCCAGGAGAAGACCGGAAGACCGTCCATTGCCAGATCGCCGAGAACCCTCGGCCAACGGCCGTTGCAAACGACCGGATCATCATCACCGTCCGAGTAGGACAATGTTACGTGGAAGCCCTACTCGACACAGGAGCCGCCGCGTCGTACATCAGCGACGAGACGGCCGAAATCTGCAAGCAAGCAGGATGGGAGATAGAAGATCACCAGCTATCCTCCTCCTTAGCCAATGGTCAAGAAATGAAAATCTACGCCAGCTATAGGGGGCAGGGACTGTTCAACGGCATGCGTAGAAAACACCGCTTCTACGTCATGCCAAATTTGGCCTATCCTATGCTAATTGGCATGGACCTATTACGCAGGCTTGGCCTGCAAGTCTGGCTAGGAGAGCAACGCGTGGACAGGAAAGACGCCCAGAACCAGCCGACAAGTCTACCTGTCCCGTGTACGATAAAAGCGCCAATTGGCCTGGCAGAGCTCACACCAGATGACCAGGAGCAGCTCGACCAATTCCTAAGGCGCGAGAAGAGAGCGTTCGAGGGGATACAAGGGCCCACCCCGCTAATCGAGCACGAGATCCGGCTCGAAGAAACGACGCCGATAAAACAACGGTACCGACCACGCAACCCGGCCATGCAGAAACTGATCGACGAGGAAGTCGAAAAGATGCTGACAGACGGGGTAATACAGCCGTCTAGCAGCCCATGGAGTTCACCCATCGTCATGGTGAAGAAGAAGGACGGGAAATACCGTTTCTGCGTGGACTTCCGGAAATTAAACCAGGTCACGCGCAAAGACGCGTATCCGCTGCCGCACGTCAATGCGACACTCGACAAATTGCGGGGAGCAAGATACCTCTCCACAATAGACCTGAAGAACGGCTACTGGCAAGTTCCGTTATCACCGGAAAGCAGACCACTAACCGCTTTCACAGCACCAGGACGAGGACTAATGGAATTCGTCGTCATGCCATTTGGACTGCACTCGGCACCGTCAACATTCCAGAGACTCCTGGACCGAGTGATTCCACCAGAAATGGCGCCGCACGCCTTCGCTTACCTAGACGACATCGTCATAGTCACTTCCACGTTCGAGGAACACCTACGGGTCCTGACCGAGGTCTTCCGGCGACTTCGGGCGGCGAAACTACGCCCGAATTGGGAAAAGTGCCACATGGCACGAAACAGTCTAAAATATCTTGGACACATCGTGGACAACGAAGGCCTGCGGACAGACCCGGAAAAAGTATCAGCCGTAGCGGAATTACCGCCGCCAGCCAACATCAAGGACCTGAGGCGATTTTTGGGCCTCCTATCCTGGTACAGACGCTTTGTACCGGACGTCTCAAAAGAGGCGGCCCCACTGACAACCCTCCTACGCAAAGACGTACGGTGGACGTGGGGCAAGAAACAACAACAGGCGTTCGACGAGCTAAAGAAGCGCCTCATCGATTCACCAGTCCTGGCTATGCCGGACTGGAATAAAACGTTCATCCTACAGACCGACGCGAGCACGGAAGGCCTGGGAGCCGTGCTCACACAAGAAGACGACCAGGGCGAACGAGTCATCGCCTACGCCAGCCGGACCCTGAACAATGCCGAGAAAAACTACTCGGCCACCGAACTCGAATGTCTTGCAGTGAAATGGGGCATCTGGAAGATGCGCCACTACCTGGAGGGATACCATTTCATCGTGGTCACTGACCACCAATCCCTAAAATGGCTAGAGAAAATCGACAGCCCGTCAGGACGACTCGCACGATGGGCATTAGAACTCGGCCAATGGGACTTCGAAATCCGCTACCGACGAGGTCCAGAGAACACGGTCGCCGACGCCCTGTCACGGCGACCGCAACCAGTCTGCGGCATCCAGCAACCAGCACAAGGAAACTGGTACAACAGGAAGTACCAGGAAGTCGAAAACAACCCAGAGGACCACCCGGAGTACAGGATCGATAACGGCATCCTGTACAGGAACATCCTACACACATTGGACTTCAACGAGATTGAACCGGACCAACAATGGAAGATCTGCGTACCGGAAAACCAGAAAACCAGGGTCCTGAGAGAGGCACACGATATCCCGACCGCCGGACACCTTGGCGTGGCCAAAACGCTTGCACGCCTGGCCCATTCATATTACTGGCCAGGGATGCTACGCGAAGCCACAAAATACGTCAGGGACTGTACAAGATGCCAGGAATACAAAGTAAACCAGCAGGCCACCCCAGGAAACATGTACGCAACCAACGTACAGCAGCCATGGGAAATGGTTTCCGCAGACCTCGTCGGGCCTCTCCCGAGGTCAAAGACCGGAAACACGTCACTACTGGTAATCCAGGACCGGTTCACGAAGTGGATAGAACTCCGACCGCTTCGACGAGCGACCGGACCAGCCGTCGCAAAGGCTCTAAGAGAATTGGTCATCCTACGCCACGGAACACCGCGTGCCGTAACCACCGACAACGGCAAGCAGTTTGTCGGAAAAGAGTTCGAAAAAACTCTTACCGAAAGCGGCATTAAGCACCGGCGCACACCACCGTACGCGCCGCAGTGCAACCCCGTGGAGCGAGCCAACAGGGTAATAAAAACGATGATCAGCCAGGACCTGGGAAAGACGCAAAAAGCGTGGGATGAACATCTCCCAGAAATCGCATTTGCGTACAACACGGCACGACACGACTCCACCGGATACACACCGGCATACCTCAACACCGGTAGAGAACTAACACCTCCAGGAAGCCTCCAACAGGAGAACCAGCGAAGGACAACCACCCCATGGGCAACACGTCTCAAAAATTTGAGAGACGCCCAGGAACTCGCCCGGACTCGACTCGCCCAGGAGTTCCAACGCCAGCAACGCCACTACAACCAACGGCGGCGCAACTGGCAGCCGAAAATCGGCGAACGCGTGTGGAAACGCACACATATCCTGTCCAGCAAAGCCGACGCGAGGAATGCGAAACTCTCGAAGAAATACGACGGACCCTTCAGGGTCCACAAGCGAGTCTCACCGGTAATTTTCGACCTAAGGGACCGCCAAGGAAAACGCGTGGACCACGTCCACGTCAGAGACCTAAAACCGGTGACCGGCACAAGGAACACGGAGCTGCGCAAAGCTACTACGCAGCCAAGCGGCAGCAGCGAGCCAACGCGCAACGTCAACGCGCAGGGGCGCGACGTCACAGGCCCCCTCCCCGCCGGACACGGACCAGCGGCTATAAAAGGCCAGCAGCAGCGGCAGAGAGCTCAGACTCGAGATGGCTGCAAGACAGCTGGAAGAGGAGATTTCGGCAGCTATACGCCGCCTAAACCTGCAGGAAAAGGCAGAGCACAACCCGCTAACCCTAACGCCACAGGAGTGGAAAAAATTCATACGCCTAAGGATGCCACGGAGTGCCTGGTGCGAGGCGCCAACCCGCAGAGCAACCAGACCGGCCCGGGTCCAGACACCGGCCAGGCGACCGCCCGTCACCGGGCTAACACCGGCGAAACACAGGCCGCTTCCGCTGGCCCCGGGAGACCGGCCACCGGGAACATCGTTGGCCGTCCGCAACACGGCCAAAAGGCTCGCGGAAGCCGCTGGGCTGACGACCACCCCGGAGCTCGGAAACCCGCCGCCGGCAACCAGGGAACCGGCCAAGATGACGGCGGAAGCCGTGGCCGACGCAGCATGGGCCAGCCGCTGCCAACGGGCTGCAACGATGCCGGACCCGACGCCGACCCTGGTCACCGCGTGCACAATAGACCAACCAGGGACAAAGGAGGTGATAACGTACACCCTGGCAGACGGGACGGATGTCCAATTGTACACGGGAGTGAGGCGACACCGCCTCACGAAAAACGGCCGACGCTGGACCATTAACCTGGACCACGAAGGAAGGGTCATCCGGTGCGTGTACACGGAGGTAATTATCCTGGTCACCTTCATCTTTTGCGCGACCAGCCGATTACGCCTGGTCTCCCCGGAGGAGGAGGGGGGTGCGACGACAGCCGCGGATCGGCGTCGCGCATCGCGGGCCCCCACCGCGGCGGCATCCCCACTCCCGAGTAATTAGACTATAAGTAGGACCGATCGATGCGCGGATCGATGAGTTGCCTCGGGGCTTCGGCCCCGAGGGGACCTCCTCGGAGGTCCGGACCGGAGCACCAGAGCTCTCGACGCCATGGCTGACCTGGCGAAGGGATCTCTGGCCAACGGGCCGTAGCATTGCACTACGCTACGACCTGGCAGCTCCCCTAGGTCCAGCGGCCGTAGGCGCCTAGCCTCGTCAGTCCCGTGGTTGACCCGGGGTGACCAAGCTAGTGCGCGTTCATAATCTCTGCTGGTGCTTCCGCGGGGATTCCGAACGCTAGCTTACTCGGCACCGCAATTTGCCTTTGGCAGCCGATTCCGTCCAGCTTTGTGGCGTTACCCAGGCTGGCCAGGATTGGTCGTCGACTCGTTCGCTGTTCGGTTCTACCTCGGCGTACGAGAAGACGAGCCGCGTGAGGCAAGCGGGCCGCAACTCCACCGCAGCGCGAAACACCGCAGCGCGATTGAATAAACACCGTCGGCCCAACCGGGCCAATCCTATCCCGACTCGACCTCTCTTGCGTTTGCGTACGTTTGCGTTTGTTTGCGTTCGCGCTCCGTTCAGCGCTTTCACTCCGCGCTCCGACACCGCGCCGTTAGCATGTAAGACCGCGTAGCGATGGCTACGACCTGCGCTAGAATTAAGGCCGCGTACTCTCTGTGACGGACCGGGTTCCGACCGTAGTTCATAAGTCCTGTACATTAGGCTTAAGCTCGGCTCCACGCGTCTAACCACCAGACGACATTTTTGATTGTAGCTCCCGAGGCAGGAGAGCACCGCCCGACCAGCAGGCGAGGGCAGCCGCCGTTAGACGCCCCCTTCTTTAATGAATAAATATTTATTTTTCCTACTAACACCGACTCATTATTTACCGACCTGTTCCCATGCGAACCCTGGCACGGGGAAAACCGCCGCGGTGCGCAACGCCGTGCGCACCGAACCGACCGACCCCGTTACATGTTTTCTCAACTAACTCGCACGTGATCATCGCCCTTGTACTTGGCTGGAGCTGCAATCTTTATGTTAGAATGTACGGACGATAAGAGTTTGTCCGCGTGTTCCGGTGTTACGTTGACGGGACACATTCTAATCGTACGATGCCTTCTATTGTTATAATCTGAGACCAGCGTCGGTAAGACGGTTGTCCACGTTGAAAGATTGTCGATGTAGAACTAATCGTCGCTATGCTCCTGGCAAACCTGGTGGGGGCTTGGTGGTATATAAACTGGTCGGTTGGGTGTTGCGATTACTTTAAAAGAAACTTTGTCATTTAATAGTATGGATCTATCACTATTCAAGGAAGACGTATTCCGATCTTGGGTGAGTAGTCCTGACATCATTCTTTTTTCTTTTTTTGTTTTTGATTTATTATTCCGTTTTCTTGTGATGCCCTTTTTCAGCGTGAAGATGGTACTCACGTGGTTTACACGGGGCACGTTAATGTCGCATACCGGAAGGCCGTCCGGTGGTACCGGGCCTATTTTCGGCGTACCCCTGGGATCTATGGGAGTGGGACGAGGATAATATCTTGGACCTTGCGCCTCTATTTCGAGAGGAGAGTTAAATTGTTTTCTTTTTAAGGAACAAAACTTGTATAAAAATAAATCATATATATTTTCTTCTTCTATGTGGTGCGTGTTTTTATTTTTATTTTTATTTTTATTTTTATTTTTATTTTCATTTTTTTCTTAAGCCTTCTGATCCTGTTCTTTAGTTTTAGTAGTACAGGATTGTTTTAGTTTTGAAGCCGGGGTTCGTTGTTCCGTTTTGTTGTGCTTCTGGTAGCTCTGCTATCTGTAGATCTGAGGGCCACGTTGTTGGGGTGGCGGTCGGTCAGTTCTGCATCTCGATGTCTTCTGACGTGAACTGGCGACGTTTGGGTTGGTTGTCATTTCTGGCTCGTTTTTTGTAGTTGATCTTGTCGTTGTCAACGATACTCTATTTTTTATCATAGTTGTTATTCCAACGTTTCTACAACGATCAATCTCCACGATAGATGAGGGCCCTATTTGGGGAGATATTGATGTGTATCACCATGTCTACCATACACGGAAAAGTCTTCTTCTTACGATCGGTAAAGAGTAATTGAATGTATTTAGCTGCCAACGGCCCCAAATTTTCCGTGAAATGGCTACGTATGTTTTCGCTAGGCTTGTCCAAAATTTGCTGCATAGAAACATTAAGATTCTCGTCGCTGTACGTCGCCGTACGTTTCAACGGAATGTATCGATTCTTCACGATGAAAATCGGGGCGATCTTTCGTCACATCCACCGGCCGTTCACTCGAAGATGTACCAGGTTCGGAATAAATGCGTGCTCTTGCAGTTTGTGTGCTTTGAGGGTTAAGAAAAGGAGTTGACGTCTATTTTTGCGGTTCTTTAATATTCAAAGTTGGGAATGTCGACTCGGATTTTATATCGATCGTGTCTGAATGTGGCGATTCCGCGGACATATTCTCGATAATTCGTTCCAGCGGTTCTACCACGGGTCTCAATCGTTTTTCGATGACTCTCTCTTCGTCGCTGCTCTCCGATTTGAGAGCTCTGCGTTTTTTGCGTATAGCATCGCTTGTTTTAGCTATAGCATTCGCAACTTTACTCGATTCTTTAATATTACTATTATCCATTGCAAAAAGAAGACGTCTACTCGCTAAGCGTTCTATCGAAGGACTAAATATTTCAGAAAACGGCAAATTCGTTAAATCCTTTTCTGTAACGACCACGTTTCATCGAGCTATCCTTGTCGATTATTACGAAACCATATTTCTGTTCCCAACACTGTGCGCACAATTTACAAAAATTTTCGTACGACATATCTGTATTTACATGATCATTATAAATGTGGCGTAGATTCGTGCCATCTTGTTTGAACATGATCAAAAGGTTGGCATTGTCGCGAATTAGGTGTTTCTCGTAAGTCTGTCGCATAAGTCTGACAGAGATAATAAAATAATTTTTAACAAAAAACAAATCCGACTTCGAAATGCACTGAAAAGTGTCAAATAATTTCTATTTCATTTATACCAATATTCCATACCTATTAATAATATCTACTTAATCGTTAAATAGGATACCAAATACATTTCAAAGTTTTCGGAGGCGGCGCAAAATTAAAAACTTTTCCTCTACTAAGAAGATCCTAACTCGGACGTCGGCAACCTATGATAAATCACCCATTTGATAATTTCAAGTAAATAATATTCAACGGGAATCAATAAACCCATTGCGAATTAACTATACTGCAGTTCACGAGTGACCGCACTTAACTCGCGCAGCTAGTGACCTACTGTGGTCTAGGGAGATTTTTAATAGTGCGTGTGATTCCCCTTTACAGCTTGCTTCTTACTTTGCGTTCACATCATTTTTTTCTTGTGACAAATAATAGGAATTACATTGTATCGTGAAACTTTACAATATCATCACCGGTTATCAATTATCGTATGTCATATATTTCTGCCCGCCATTTATATGGTCGCAAAGTATAATAAGAAGCAAGCTGTAAAGGGGAATTACACACGTTATTAAAAATCTCTCTAGACCTAGTGAGCGGCGCGAGTTAAGTATGGTCTCTTGTGAACTGCAGTATAGTGCATGTACATCAGGAGGGCTGCTAATTTCTCATACAATCGTTACAATTACAAATGTTTTCAGCCGGACCTATAATTTTTCTCTTACGACTTATTAATTACCAAGTTTGCCATACCGCAATCAAGTCGTTATTGGCAGCATCGTTTGTTCGGATATTTTTAATTTTGCGCCGCCTCCGAAAACTTTGAAATGTATTTGGTATCCTATTTAACGATTAAGTAGATATTATTAACAGCTATGGAATATTGGTATAAATGAAGTAGAAATTATTTGACACTTTTTAGTGCATTTCGAAGTCGGACTTGTTTTTTGTTAAAAATTATTTTATTAACAAAATATTATTATTATAAGTATTCGCCCTTATATTGAACAACAGAGATGTTCTGATAAGGGCAATATTGTATTACTCTGTACGAGGCAAGAATTTATAGTGTTACGTCGCGAGCGAGAGAGAGAGAGATACGGCGCGCGACGTACAAAATAAGAAAAATTTTTAATTTAACAAGAGGTTAATTAAATTGTTGGCTGATACGCGGTTGAGAACGGTATTAGCGCTGCCACCAGTCCTAATCGCTCGAGACGATGTTAGATCCTTCGCGATTAGAACAATAAAAGAGTTGATAGATTAATTAATAGGTAATTAAGAATTTAATCGGGTTCGTCACTGCTCTAATCCCATACGGGCCCCTCGTGTGAATTTGTACGAAGATGGTAGGCGTGAAAATGAAGGAAAAGAAGTGGTTTGAAACGTAAATGAATTGAAACAGTTTAGGCGTAACAAAAATATAATCTCAAAGTAAGTAAACGTGACAATAAAATGGTTGGTTAACAGAAAATGTGAGCTGTTTGAAATACAAGGGAAAATAAATGCATTGTTAAGAAAGGTTTAGATTATATGAAAGTGAGACTATTGATTATGGAATAATTAATGTTTGATTAAACGATTCGACGATTCGAGCGACGATGTCGTATAAGGAATTCAACGCGAACAAAAAGAAAGAACGGTCCCAGAGGGTAAACTACCAGAATCACGGTTTCGTGGGGCCGCCTTCTTTTGTGTGAAATCGGAATTTTCCAAATATTTTAAATATTCGATACCTTATGTCTCTATTGTGAACGGAACGATCTAAAGGGAAACTTTCCAGAATACGCGGTTTCGTAGATCGCCCGTTTTGCCTCGCTATGTCCAGATTCGTCGTATTAGATAAAATGAAATGGACAACTTACCAGGAAACAAGATGAAATAATATCTAATAATAGTTTGATAAACGCTTTCTTTCGCTGGTATCGTTGAGAAATCTGGAAATCAAAGAGAAGGTGAGGAAACTGCCACTGCACTACGCGTTCGCGATCGGCCTTTATTACGGTATTACGGAACGATTAATTACGAAACGAGCACAAGAGTATTATAAAGACGACGCGACGCGAAAGGGAAAAAAAAACCAAAAAGAAAGGTAATTAATTCAGCGGACGGTTTAAAACGAAAGAGAAAAGGATAGTGATTGAAAAGTGTGAAATTTAACGTATTCGCAAGAGTCTTTAACGCGGAAAACGCGAACCGCAATCTCCCGGCACTCTGCCTTTTCCAAGGACTTTACCGGTCAGCTAATTTCTACGATTTTCACACGAAACTATTGCTCGACGCGAACACGGGCTCCCCGTCACGTACCTCACGATTTTTCGACGAAGAGTCATTTGCCTCAGTCAAGCGATCGTGTCTCAGGGTTCGACCCGCGATCAAGGGCCCAAAGTGGGGACATCATTTGGCAAATCGGGGTACGCGACGGAGGGGAAATCCCGCGCGTATTGGGCTAGTTGGCCGCTCTTCCTAGTTCCCTCATCCCTTCCTGGCTTTTCCTTCTACCCTCGTCTAAGGTTGTCCATTTCTTTCTGCCCCTCTGACGCTACAACGGATTTCATGCGTCGCAATTCTAAGATTCTGGAATATTCGAAATCTATTACGACTTAATTCATTCGAGTTTGCTTAATTAAAGAGGCTTTTACCGCGATATTTCTGGTGTCGAAAGAGGTCTTTGTTTTATTAGAAATATTTGGTTTACTGATTTGAATGACCATTAGCTAAATAACGTTAATTATTATTCATACGTTAACTACTCTATTATTCTCGTTGTTTAGCGGTTTGCGCGCGATGCAACCGGTGTTTTATAATCGTCGACAATTTGCGGATACATGCGTGTCGCATTTAGTTAATATTCATTCCACTCTTATTAGTTATTAACATTCCCATTCGTATCTCGACGATTTACGTATATTCGAACGTTCTACGTTTAACGTTTAGCGACGATGTTTATAGACTCGGTCGACCTTTGTCTCGAACATTCGTGAACGATTTCGAACTACAGCGGTTGTCACGCAAACCCTCGCATTCTAATATCATTCAAATAGTTTCATTCCGTTATAGATTTCAATTGCTTTCGTTCTTAATCGCATTCATTCTTTGGTGGAAGGGTCGGCTGACGCATGCTTTGCAGGTATGAGAGGTACCTAGCTAATAAAATAGAAGAAAATTCTTCTTTATGTTGCATGGTTAAGTTGGGAAATTTCCAAGTGCGTCGCACTGCTTAACCGCGCGGCGAAGGATGTTTATGGTACCTCTCCCTAAACGGTTTCGCCTTTCGAAGTTTTTGTCGCTGCGTAGTTTCGACAAGGCAATCATCCCAAGGAAAGGTTGACTTGTATTATTTGAAAGAACTAAATATAGCCTCCTTCGTGTGCCTCGCCTGGAATTATCTCCAAGTGCTTCGCACTGGCGAGGTACACAAGCTCGGTATATTGACGGTTAAACTATTGAAACTAACAATAGAAAAGAAAAAGGAGAATTATAATTTAATCTCAAACTCCTTTCTTGTGTTCTCCGTGAGGAATCACTTCCAAGTGCTCACGCACCCGCCGGAAGAGCACAAGATCGGAGGAGCGCGAACAGGTAACGATGAGAAGAAATAAATTAGCAAGGCCCTTCCTTGCGCCCCTCACGTGGAAAGTTCCAGATGCAGCGCACCCGATGAGGAACGCAAGGTCGGGTTAATTGAAAATGTACCCGGACGTAACAAAAGCAAACATGGATATTCAACCATGCGGAAATGTTACAGCCGTCGCATATTATATTGCTAAATACGCAAGTAAATGCGAGCCGCAGGACACAGGAAATATTATTAAATAAGCCGTTTTACGAGCGAAACGCCGAAACGATACCAACCGAAATCAATTATTTTCGGTATCTATGGCAATTCTATCTCAACGTATGGTCAATGCTATAGAATGTGCTTATCGATTATGCCATCTGCCTCTTAAAATGAGCTCGCGAATAGCTGTATTTATAAACAGCTGTCGGCCTAAGCAGAGATATAGAATTCTGCGATTTGAAGAAAATGGAACATCATTTTTCAATAACATATTCGATTGTTACATAAAGAGGCCGGACAACCTTGGGAACTTGAGTTTAGCCGAATTTGCTGTCTGATATGTGAAATATATGTGAAAATGAAATATAGACAGAAGCGGATGACGACGCAGAACTTAGAAATGACGATGAAGAAATTTCGAGATTGAAATTTATAAAATTGAAGGACAATAACCGAATGCGAATAAGAAATAAACCAGCTGTACTCCGCCGCCGATATTATACCCTGAACAGTGATAGAGACGGATACTTCTATAACATAATAGTGTGTGTTTTTCTCGGCGAGAATTGGAATTTTTGGGATGGCGTGGATTCCGTCTTTTCAAAGACGTGGGCGTCGAGGAGAAGATAAACGATACAGCTTAGCGGTCACGAATTATGTATTACTGATAATTTGTACACAATGAGTCGTAAATTAAACTCTACAAAAATCACCTTTGGTTTAATTTGGAATTACACGATTTAGGAATTCGCGGTGCAAGGCACTGAATTGAATTTGAGAATGCTCGAAACTCGAGTAAAGAAACGTTTTGGTCGCTGTTGTCGCTTGGTAATCGCTCTCTCACTTGCTTTCGCATTAATGCTAACGGTTCGAATTTGGGAGTTTTAATATTGGCGAGCGCTCGGATCGGTGGTTAGACAGCGCAACAGCGATTCCGTTTACTTGCTCGGTGACGACGGGATGATCGACCCGTGTTATCGACCGAGGTGTTTGTATGAATTGAAGTGCCAAATTCGAACACACCGCCCCCCCGTTGAATGAATTCATTCAACGTGAAGTGCGTAGTATTAATAACGTGGAACGCCCAAGATTGTAATGCGGAAATTTTTCTTGCGGTGCTTACATGCGATGAGACAACGCTTACGGTAAGTGCAATTTTAAATTCTAATTACTTACTAGATTATGGATTATTAATTAATAGCTAGAACGAGACATACGAATTAATAAAGAAATAGAATAATTACAAATTAACATTAAGAACCGAGCAAAGTGCGGATTTGATACGTGAATAGACCTGACTTTAATTGCGCAGTTTGCTTTTACGTCGTAGATTTCTCGCTTTCGGTGACAAGTGTGATTGGAAGGAAACAAAGTTTCGCAATAGGGCGCTTATATTCCCCGGACGACGTTTTTACGCTGACGACTCGGATGAGGTTATCGTCTCCTGGGTGGCACTTGATAATGCGGCCAAGTTCCCATCGGCAAGGCGGAAGATTTTGGTTGCGAAGCAGGACAAGTTGACCGACTTGAGCGAGATTTTGCGTCGTCTTCCATTTTGGGCGTTGGTGCAACGTATGCAGGTAATCATTGCTCCATGTCTTCCAGAATGTTTCGGTCATTTTTTGCAAACATTGCCAACGAGATAGTCTATTGTCTCTTAATTCTAGTACGCTCGGTTCTGGTGGAGTTACTAACGGTGCTCCGATTAAAAAATGACCTGGTGTTAATGCTCGGTAATCGTCAATGCAGTCGGATATGGGTCCTAGCGGTCGTGAATTAAGGCAGGCTTCGACTCGACATAGAAACGTTGTCATTTCTTCAAAAGTGAGAGTATGAGAGCCGATGCTTCGTTTTAAATGATATTTGGTGCTTTTGACTGCGGCTTCCCATAGTCCACCGAAATGAGGAGCATTCGGAGGCAAAAAGTGCCATTCTATTCCGTCGGTTGCAAGGCGATTGCCGAAATTGGCGTTTTGAATTGAAGAGTTAAATGCGGCCCTTAATTCACGATTCGCTCCTTGAAGTGGTTCCATTGTCCGAGTACATTGACTTCGGAAGACCGCGGCGCGAGATGAATCGATGATATGCTGCGAGAAAGGCTGCAGAACTATAATCGCTTACGAGCTCTATGTGGATCGCCTTAACTGTTAAGCAAATGAATATCGCGATGTATGCTTTATGCGCTTTATAGCCACGACCGGAATTGGTTCGCACCTGAATTGGACCAGCATAATCGACGCCAGTATGTATAAATGGTCGCTCCGTTTTGGTGACTCTCGGTGATGGCAAGTTTCCCATGAGCTCATTCGGCATGATTGCTTTCTCGCGGGTGCAAGAGATGCACTTGTACAAAACATTTCGTACTGTAGCGCGGGCGCGAATTATCCAGTGCTCGTTTCGTAAATGTGCCAGAGTGAGTTGAGGGCCCGCGTGTAACAATTGGCGATGAGTACATTCTATTAGGAGTGTTAGGAGCGGGTGTGACCGAAGAATAATCGGATTTTTTGCGTTTTCAGGAAGCTTGGAATTGGTGAGCCGTCCTTTTGCGCGGATTAGGCCGTCGGTGTCTAAATAAGGACACAGAGAAAGGAGAGCGCTTGTTTTTGGGACTGGCTTGGACTTTGCTAAGGCTCCCTTCTCCTCCGGAAAAGCGTTGGATTGACGCTCCTTTAACCAAAAGAGTTTTGCTTTGTTGATAACTTCTGGCTTGAGAATAAACGGCGGAGCAGTAGGTTGGCTTATAATGGTGAGTTTTTGGTTAGTTTTGCTTTGGATGCAAGTACGAAGTGTACGAATGAAATGAATTAAATATGCGGTAACACGTAAGAGTTTTGTCCATGAAGAATAGCGATTGGCTAATTCCCATTGCTCAACGCAGGTTGCGAGACTTGGAAGGGCAGAACTTCTTTTCTCGTGCGACAGATCGTCGTCTGTTTGTGGAATAGACTGAGGCCAGAAATTAGACGCTTTTATTAACCAAGGAGGGCCGGACCACCATAACTGGTGAGTTTCTAACTTGTCAATGTTTATTCCGCGAGAAGCGCAATCAGCAGGATTTTCGGCTGTTGGTACGTGATGCCATTGAACATCGGGAATTAGTTGCTGAATTTTTGCTACGCGGTTCGCGACGAAGGTTTTCCAGCGATTAGGAGGCTGTCTTAGCCACGCGAGTGTGATAGTAGAGTCAGTCCAACAATGACTCTCAAGCATCGATGCATTTAACGCTGTTCGAACGAATGTTAATAGGCGAGCTAATAGCAAGGCGGCAGATAATTCCAATCGAGGAACGCTCAAAGTTTTGACCGGAGCTACTCGTGTTTTAGCGATTACGAGAGAGGCACAAATCGTACCATCGTGAAGAACGTTTCGCGAATATACGGCTGCAGCGTAGGCTTTGGTTGAGGCATCTGAGAACCCATGCAGACTTTGACTTCTAAAGATGTTATAAGCTATCTTTCGCGGTATGGAGATGTGCTCCAACTTGGGCAATTGTGAGCAAAATTTTTTCCATTCCTGAAGAAACGTCGATGGAGGAACATCGTCCCAGTCGCAACGAATGGACCACAGCGTTTGCATATAGATATTGCCGGTAATGATTATTGGAGCAATCCATCCAAGTGGATCGAACAATTTTGCGATAGTGGAAAGAATTGAACGTTTAGTCTGCGGACGGTTGATTGGCTCTGAAAGTTTAAATTGAAATTGATCTAATGCAGGATTCCAAGTTAGGCCAAGTACGGAGATTGTTTCGTCTCCTTGCAAGGATTTACTTGTGGCAAGCCCATAATTTTTTGAATTAATATCGGACATAAGCTCCGGATTGTTGCTTGCCCACTTTCGTAAAACGAATCCACCCTTTGCTAGAAGGTCGATCGTCTGATCGCGTAATTGACGGAGTGAGTTGAGGCTATCTCCTCCGAAGATGAAATCATCAACATATGCTTGATCCTGTACGACGGAAACTGCTTGAGGAAAGTTGGCACCTTCGTCTTCGACGAGTTGGTGTAAAACACGAATAGCTAAATAGGGGGCTGATGCTGTCCCGTAGGTAACAGTGAGCAATTGATACTCATTTACTGGTTTAAGAGGCGAGTCGCGCCAGAGAATCCTCTGATAATCGGTATCTTCTGGATGCACAAGTATTTGACGATACATTTTCTCAATGTCTGCAGTATATACATATTGAAATTGACGCCATCGAATCAAGATCGAAACAAGATCTTGTTGAAGTTTTGGTCCTGTGAACAAATGGTCATTCAAGGAGGTTCCGTCGGAAGTTCGACGGGATGCGTTGAAAACAACGCGAAGACGTGTAGTCACACTGCTCTCGCGAATTACAGCATGATGCGGTATGTAGTAGCAGTTTTTGTGCGAGGATGGAAGAGGATCAACTTGTTTCATATGGCCGAGGGTTTCGTACTCGGACAGAAACTCTTGGTAAGGTTTAGATACCGCTGAATTGCGAATGAGGCGATTTTCTAACGATCGAAGACATCGAAGTGCTACTGAGCGTGATTCGCCTAAATTTATTGATGATTGTGTTTTGAAAGGAAGGCGAACAATGTACCATCCGTCATTTGCGCGAGAATGCGTAGTTTTAAAATGCTCTTCGCAAATCTGATTTTCAGGAGTTGTGATTGTTGGAGCTGAGAGGTCCTCGATTTGCCAAAATCGACAAAGGTCTTGGTCGAGGTTTTCCAAAACGGAAAGATGGTGAACTCCTACTGAGGAAGGTGAGGATACTCGGTTGGAAGGACCGGACAGGATCCACCCGAGGGTAGTGTTTTGTGCCGTCGGGGTACACGCGGAGCCTTTCCTCAGCCCTGGCAGCAAAAATTGACCATAAAGATCTGCTCCGATTATGATGTCGATTGGATCCGAGCTCATGGGTTCGTTGTCTGCGAGTTCCAAATCTGCAAGGTGAGACCATTTGAAATTTGTTGGGTTTTTTGAAGGCACGTACCTTGTGAGTGATCGCAAAATGATCGCTGCAGTCGAATATGCTGGCTTATCTGATCTACTTGGCGTGATAATTATTTCTGCGGTGTGGCTTACGTGTGATTGATTTTCTCCAATTCCGATGATTTTGGTCGGCTGTTTTGTACGCAGAAGACGGAGTGTTTGGGCGAGATTCTCCGTTATAAGGGTTGCGACGGAACCTTGATCCAGAAGAGCTCGAGCGTTAACGGATCGACCCTGACTCGAGCGAATTTGAACGCGCGCTGTTGAAAGAAGAATACATGAGCCTTTTGGAGAATTTGACGCTACATGAGTACTTATCTCAACTGCGTTTTCGGAAGATTCAGACTCAGCTTTCGATGTAGAAGGAGTCGCATCCTTTTGGTTCGGAAAATGTAAGAGTGTATTGTGACGCTGATTACATTCCTTGCATAAGTGCTTGCTTTGGCACTGTGCGGAGGAGTGCTTAATTGAGAAGCAATTAACGCACCGTTTTTGTTTTCGTATAAAATGAAAGCGCTCGGAAACGGGTTGCGAAAGAAATTTCGGACATTGGTAGATTAAGTGAGTTTGTTGACACACCGGACAAGTAATTTTTTGAGATGTCGCGGAATGGGTTGAAATCGCTCTCGATTTAAATTGTTTACATTTATCAACGTCGCTCGCTTTTTCGCGTTTTGTATTAGGCATTGCTTCGAGTGCGCGAATTCTTTTTCTTAAAAACGCGTCGAATTCTTCATACGTAGGAAAGTCGGTCGCTTCACTAAGATGAAATTCCCAAGCCTTTCGCGATGAACGATCTGATTTTTGCGTTGCTAGAAAAACGATAATGTCATCCCACTTGTCGACCGGTCGGTTTAAATTTCTTAACATTTCGAGAGATATGTTTATTCCATCGCGCAACGCACGAAGGTCGTGAGCGTTTTCGGCCGCTACAGACGGAATCGAAAATAACGTGTTCAAATGCGTTGAAATTAACCGTTGTTTGTTTTCGTAACGCGACGTTATGATCTTCCACGCAATGTCAAAGTTTTTGTCTGTTATAGGAAGGTGACTCACGGCGCGGCTTGCTTCACCCGTTAACGATGAATTCAAAAATTGAAGGCGGTCAATGTTTGATAAAGAATCATTATTTTTTACCAGCGAGGTGAAGCGGTCACGGAAACTCTCCCATTCGGTGAAGGCGCCATCGAAGGTCGGCAGTTGAATCTTTGGTAGATGAACCGTTGACTTCGACGTCGTTGAGTTTGAATTTGCGTTGGTAGATTGCGGTGGAGGCGTGGCCTTGGCGAGAACCTCCGCCATGTAGTCCAGAGCTTCTTGGTACCTATCTTCGGATTCGATGAACTGGTTGTCGACGAAATACGGCAGACTGGACTTCGTCGCTTTGTCGGTGCATGCTGCTATCCTCGCGTCCAGATCTTGGCTTTGGATGTATGCTTCTTTTAACATTGCCATCCGGTTTTGAGTTGTGGCTGCGGTCATGTTTGCTTGACCGAGCTTTTTAAAATTGAGAAGCGCACGATCAATAGATCGTAACGTTTGAGTTTACTTGTACAGCAATTCTTCAAGGTGACTCATGGCCGTTAACGAGTTGAATTGTCGGTTTTAGGTTCACGATTACCGGTGTATCCTCGATTCCAATCCGGCTCGAAGGACCAAATGTTTTTCTCGGCGAGAATTGGAATTTTTGGGATGGCGTGGATTCCGTCTTTTCAAAGACGTGGGCGTCGAGGAGAAGATAAACGATACAGCTTAGCGGTCACGAATTATGTATTACTGATAATTTGTACACAATGAGTCGTAAATTAAACTCTACAAAAATCACCTTTGGTTTAATTTGGAATTACACGATTTAGGAATTCGCGGTGCAAGGCACTGAATTGAATTTGAGAATGCTCGAAACTCGAGTTAAGAAACGTTTTGGTCGCTGTTGTCGCTTGGTAATCGCTCTCTCACTTGCTTTCGCATTAATGCTAACGGTTCGAATTTGGGAGTTTTAATATTGGCGAGCGCTCGGATCGGTGGTTAGACAGCGCAACAGCGATTCCGTTTACTTGCTCGGTGACGACGGGATGATCGACCCGTGTTATCGACCGAGGTGTTTGTATGAATTGAAGTGCCAAATTCGAACAGTGTGTCAGATTCCATTTCGTGATGAAAGTACACTTGTGTCCGAAAACGAATCTTCAGAACAATGTTTTCTTCGACGGCACCACGAGTTGAAACCTATGTTGGGTAACGCAACCGTCGAACAATTTACTCACGCAGAGCAAATTATTGAAGCGGCGCTCGCCCAGGCTGTTGCTTTGAATGTTGTACATGAAGAAGAAACTAATGAACATTTAAGAGATCCAGTCGGAATTCATGCCGACGAAACAATATATTATGATCAAGGTGATTTATATGAAGATCAACAGCAAGAAACAATTGCAATGCCAGAAGACGTGTTCCTTAATAGTATTCGAAGTCTTAATATTCAACAGAAAGACTTATTAAAATCAGTTTCCGCAGTAATTGAGAAAGATATTAAAAAAAATGATGATGAAAATACGGAACAAATATTGCTTTTTATTACCGGAGGAGTTGGTAGTGGCAAGTCGTTTATTTTAAAATTACTTGTTGAACGCGTTAAACGCTGCTATAATCCTACAGTTGATACGATGATAAAAGCATCTTTCATTGAAGTAGCTTCTT